CCTGAACTGGATCCGCAACTTACGACACTTCAGGGCGATAGGCCTCGCTCCTCCGACATCGATGTCGCACACCACACCTCTGGCGGCCGGCGGAAGGGCATTTCCTTTGGCGATCAAGAGGTGTCGGAACTTCCAGATCCTTTGGCGAAGTCGATCAATCTCTTCTGGGGTCTGATTATCAGATCCACATAGCTGAATGTCCTCGATCTTCACATCTTCCGTCGTCACAGGCACTTGTGGCAGTACCGCCATCTGACCGTCGACATCTTCCGCGTACAGATCACTTCATTCATGGTAGTATACACATTCATCAAAATCTTGATCTGAGCTCCAGGTGAGATCCAGATCCGACGTGTCTGGTTGATCTTCAATAGCAGGTGGTGGATCCATGTCCATTTTTTGAGCCATAGACGTGACGCACTTGCCGTTCAATGGATCACTGGCCACATATCTCGTCCCAGATTGTACACTCATCATTGATGACGGATCTGATCCACCGTATTTCGACAGTGATGTTCCTTGATCGTGACCTCTCGAATGTAGTTGATCCTGACTGGCGACCTAAATTCCGTCTCGGGTTTCTTCTTCTCGCATTTCCACCACGCTTGTAGTTTCCTTCAACGACGGATTAGTCGCCCACACGTCTGACGTCACTTGATTGAGATCTTCTGGCACCTCCTTGACCGTTACATCATGCGATATAGAGTCTTCATCTGCGATAGACGACAGATCCGACTCCTCGCTTGCGACAGACGCTAGATCCAACAGTTGAATTTCCGACGGCGCTTTGTCCGACGGCGACTTGTCCGACGGCGAGTCGTCCGAGGGTAGGCAGTCCGGAATATCTTGATCCTGACTCGCCTCGATCTTCCGACACTGGATCAACGTTGCTTTCGGTCTCTGGAGTATTGCGCGCGGAGTTGCGTATTCAGATCGCTCCACCGCGGGCACCAGCGGGAGCTTAACCTCCATTTCTTCGGATCAAGCGTCTGTCGTGGTTTCCAATGCTAGATTCTGCCACTTATAACGACGAGAGCCGATCGATATGAAACCTGGTATTCGTGGCACATGATCTTCGGCCAGCCAGATCCCGATCCGTTGGTCTTGATGCAGGATCAACACCTCGTCCCCGATGTTGGTGATCGAGACGTACTTTGTCCTCCCCGGTCCATCGGATATTGTCGGTACCCATCGAGCCCCACGCGTGATCCATAGATTGTCGTGGATTGACGACCTCAGGCGCAATGGCAGCTCCACCGACTCTCCTGTTTGGATCCGAAGGTATTGGCCGACGTTTACGATCTTTGCTTTATCGCTATAAAGCTGCCGCCTCCCGCTAAGCTGGATCCGGACTTCATCCGGCAAACTCATCGATCCATGGGCTAGATCTAGGCGGATCCCGGTTGGAACCATGAAGTCCATACCAAGTATAGCTTGTTGGCCGGTTAGATCACCAACCCAGATATCGAAGAAATATACCATTGATCCAGCGAGGGTCACCTTGATCCGGGTTCTTCCTTTCGTCCGGTACACATTATCACCAATTCCCACACAATCCTGGATCTGATTCGAGTCGATATAGCACCCAACCTTACGAGCAAAGGCGGTGTCCACGATGGACACCTCGGCGCCGGTATCTAAGAGTAAGATCGCCTTCTCATTGTGGATTTTGCCTGTGATCTTCGCTTGACGGAACCATTTGCCTGGCGCATGATGCTTCCAGTAACCACGAGATTCTCCCGGTAGTAGGTCCATGGTCATTGATCGTCGGTACTCCGAGATCTTGCTAGTCCTCTGGATCTCCGGAGTAACTTCATGACCTGTGGGTTTAAACCATAGATCTGGATCTTGCTGTCTCCAATAATTTCGTGACTCTACTGGTTGGAGATCTAAACTAATGGTGACTTCAGACCTGGCATACTCGTTGACTTGGCGAAGACTTGAAATTGCGAAGGTGCGTTTCCCATGCAGATCACATGTATTACCGTGTAGATCTGGTCGTTTACTAACCTGATCTACCGATGCCTTGTTCACAAATGCATAGATGCAGCATCTAGAACGCTCGGCTCGTATCGGAGTCCACCCCGACGAGCGTCCTAGTTTAACATCTTCTCAGCAGCTTCGGGTATCATACCCATGTGCTTCGTGGGGTTAAACCACTGACGGATCTGGTTATAGAACTCTTCCATCGGACATTTCCCCATGTCATGCAGTTCTCCACATCCGCGACACACGAAGAGGCAGTGATCGGAGGGGTGTCCTCTCTTGCCACACTTCGTGCACGTAACACGTCCCCAGCAACCAAGATCCGAGTACTTTCTGGATCCCCAGTGCGAACTCCGATCGCGGTTAAACCCATTACCGTGGATCTTCGAGTTGTGATCTT